TTATAGGATAGATGAGTATCTAATACAAAAAAAAAAAAAAAAGGAAAAGGTTCCAGGCTTGGTTTTACATGACTCCACTACTCAGAAATGGCTCCTCTTAACAGTTTAGTATATTTGTTTTACATTTCTGAGGCAACTTCAAATTCACAGGTGTGAGATCACATATGAAGACAACTTATGTATGTATACAGGTAACAAATATGCATGTATCTACAGTATGTGTACAAATATGTACATATATATCACATATAATAATGGCTATAATATACACATGTATAAGGAAGATTTGTCCCTGCCCCTGAAGTGAGGGTAACTGTTAGAGACGATACTGTTTTGTGCCTACAGTCAAAATCCACACTGTATTAGAAGGCAGGTCCATCCACCCCAGTGTAAACCTGAGATACCTCCAAGGAGTTGGGAGTAAGGATTTCCACTTATTGTGCATGCCAGATGGTCCTTCTGTGAACAACCTATTTTGGATTTTTCTATGATTGATTCTAAGCCCTCTGTAGTTCCTACTTCCACATATATCCAACTTGGAGATTCTAGTCCCAGAATTCCTGAAGAATCTTCTTTTCTTATAAAGAAGGTATCTTTGAAACAGGGTTCCTCTTTATATTCTAGTACAAGGGTTTATAAACTATGGCCCAGCACCTGTTTTTGTAAATAAAGTTTTATTTAAACACAGCCATGCTCTTTGCTTGTATATTGCCTGTGGCTGCATGGCTGTAATTTTTGCTGTCTGCTCCTTTACACAAGAAATCTGCTGATTCATTTTAGTATATTCTAAACACAGTTTTTTTGTTTTTCTTCCATCAAACATTTTGAAAGACTTGAATAACACACCCCATACCCTGTATCTTTGCTCAGGCTAAGGGGTCTGGTTTTGCTTAAAAAAGAAAACAGAAAAGAAGCCAAATAAATCAAATGCACCTTGGCTCTGACAACAGTAGCAGCATGCTGGTCAATGTTTAGCAATTTGTTGCCCAGGTAGAAAAAGCTCAGACATGGAGCGCTGGATGATTTCCACAGTGTAAATATTCTCATCATGGCCCATTTCAAGCTACAGAACTGTAACACTGCTGAACACAGAGTTGAGAAGACATATGCACAAATGCTAGCATAAATCCCTTTCAGGAAACCATGGGTGCTTGGGACATCTACTAACACTAGCTTAACTGTGAAGACAGAGACACTAAGGTTCTGAGAGATCAAGCGTCCTCTACAAGGCTAGTCTAAGAACTGATGTCAGGTTAGAAGGGATTCTCCCATCCAGACTCTAGCTGCCTCATGAAGAAGTATTTCCTCCTAAAAGGCAGAGCAGGCAAAACATGACAAAAGATATTTGCCAGGCACATGGTAATAAATATTGGTTTTAACTGTCATCTTCACAGTGTGGGCCTCTGGTTTCCTTCACATATGCTTCTGAAGCACACCGTACTAGGGGGTATTGCTCATCTGATAGGACCATGTTTCATGTATACATGCAGACAGGGAACTGTCTCAACTGACCCAAAGTCCCAGACAGGCCCCACATCATTTACACTTGTTAATTTCCTAAAGTCCAGAAGAATTGGGAATAAGATAAATACCTTCTCAAGGGATCAGAAGGGAGGCTCCACCATCACTGTGGAGTCATAGGCAAAGAATACAAGTGCTCAGAGTTTAGATCCTAATCCCCTTCTCCCACCTGTGGGAACAACAGCATATGCACAGATCATTTCCATCAGCCAAAGGGCTTAAATTGCTCCATCAAAACATGCTGGAGATGTGTTTCTTTATAAATAAAATGCTGATTGGCCAGTAGCCAGGCAGGAAGTATAGTATAGGCAGGACAAAGAGAGAAGAGAAGGCTGGGAACTGGAAGGCTGAGTCAGGAGTCGCCAGCCAGATGAAGCAAGATGTAAAAGTACCAGTAAGCCACAAGCCACATAGCAACTTATAGATTAATAGAAATGGGTTAATTTAAGATGTAAGAGCTAGTCAATAGTTAGCCTGAGCTAATGGCCGAGCAATTTTAACTAGTATGAGCCTTTGAGTGATTATTTTATAAGTGGGCTGCGGAACTGTGGAGGCCGGAGAAGGACTGGAGAAAACTCCAGCTACAAAAACACGACAGCCTCTTTGGGTAGAGGATAGAGAAGTTTGTTTGCTTTGATATATGTAATTGATAATATGTGTGTAATTTCTGTCTCAAATTTGTATAGACAGAACATAAGCCAAAGGAAACAATCTAATAAAGGATCCCATCTACTACACAAACACGATGGACAATTGCTTTCTAGTGGGGGGGGGCAGAAAATATTGTTGTGGAATATTAATTTAAGATGGATTACATTTGTTTATGCTATGGAGTATTTGTTTAATGATGGTACCTTTGCTTGATTAAATAAAACTAACCTGGGTCAGGAGACTGAGTCAGCAACTAGCTGACAGGAAGTGGCAGGGAGGAGCCAGGTGTAGCTAGGGTTCTTAAGTGGGGGCTGGGCAGAAGGACACGCTGTTTTGGGGGGAGACGTGAGCTGAGAGAGACGGTTAGCTACTTGCTATTCAGCCTCTCTGAGAAAGCAGGACTGCACCTCAACCTTTGAATCCTGAGTTCTATAGAGGGACAGAGATTTAGAGGAAGTTTCCTTCAGCGGCCCTGATAGAGCCGGGGCCTGAGGGAACAGAATTCCTGCCTGGCTATGGCCAGTGCAGCCGAACTGCTCCTGGTAGCTGTGGAGTTGCGACTGCCGATTAGGACAGCAGTTGCTTAAGGGGCAGTTACTTAATTTAATGAAAAACAACAGAGGACCACTCGTAGTGATAGCCAGGGAGGTGGAAGTGAAAGAATTCAAAGCCGGGAAAGCAAATCTCAACAAATCCAGGTCTAGACAGAAACTACAAACAGAACTGAACATGGGGAGGCGGGAGGCAGGAGCATGCCACCCTGATATTCTACTTATTTATTTGTTGTTTATTTATTTATTTTGGTTTTCGAGACAGGGTTTCTCTGTGTAGCCTGGCTGTCCTGGAACTTGCTCTGTAGATCAGAGCTGCTCTGGTATGTTGCCTGTGGCTGCTTTCATACAGCAGCGTAAGAACTGCACGGTTGTAACGTTTGTTGTCTGCTCCTTTACACAAGAAATTTGCTGGTCCACATTAGTATATTCTAAAGACAGTTTTTTGTTTTTCCTCTCTCAAACATTTTGGAAGACTTGAATAACACATCCCGTACCTAGTATCTGGCCTCTAACTCACAGAGATCCTCCTGCCTCTACCTCCCAAGTGCTGGGATTAAGGGTGTGCACCACCACCGCCACCGCCTGGCTCACCACCCTGATATTTTAGAAATGACCTCTCAACTACTTGGTAATCTTACACCAATCCCTATACATTTGGCATGGTCTCTCTATACACACTTCTCAGAACCCACAGATCCGGTTTGTCACATCAATCCTGCAATCCTGATGCTTACGTGGGTCAACTCAGCAGGCACAGAAACAACCAAGGCACACATGAACATTACTGAGTTTGCAGAAGGCTGCAGCCACCATCAAGGGTGGGGATCTAGGACTTAGTTCCCAAGTGAGGTCAAGAGTGGTCGTGTGTATCAGAAAATAACACTTAACACTCCCCATGGTGCTGGGTGGAAGGTTCATAAACAAGGCAGCGAACCCAGTGAACTATGCCTCCCAAGCACACGCTACCTCAATAGTTCTAAAGTGTGGTGCAGAGAACACCTAGGTATCTGCGAGGTCAAAAACACTTCCAAACAACACGAAGATGTTACATTTTCCGGAATATATTTGAAAGTCTCCAGAAGCGACACTACATGTCATACTGCAACAGACTGAATGAAGAAGCAGATGTAAGAATCCACCTGTCAGCCGAAGGTGGTGGCGCGCTCCTTTAATACCAGCACTCTGGAGGCAGAGGCAGGAGGATCTATGAGTTCGAAGCCAGCCTGGTCTACAAAGCGAGCGAGTTCTAGGACTGTTACACAAAAAAACCCTGTCTTGGGGGGAAAATGCACCTTCTTCTTCTAAGCAGAGATTTGCAGAAATGTAAAACAATGCCACTATTAATAACTTTGTTTTGTAAAATATAAGACTTTAGAAAATGTTATGTTAAATATAATTGGTCTATTCTGAATTATTAAGCATATTTTCTGTCTATAAGTTTTATTTATACACGGCAAATATCAATAGGTACAACCCACATAACAAAGGTTCCTTAAGCACGCAAACGGTCCTAAGTCCAAAAGTTCAGCAACTTCTTAGAGGCTGGGTTTCTCAATCAGTCACCATGGGCTCTGAGCCCAACCGTTCCACTGAGGGGGTCTCTCACCCTCATCCCACTTCCCATCGGCCCTAGTGGAGACTCCCTAATCTGCCCGCCACAGTCGCAGCCTTCTCTATCCCGTAGGCCAGGCCTGGCCTCACAGGCAAGGCGAGAACTCCCGGGGCGCCGAGAAGAGCCACTCCCAGTCCAAAGCGTCGCAGGCTGAGGAGCGGGCGGAGAGGTCACCCCAGGAGCGAGCTCCGCGGCCTCCCCCAGCTCGTCCCGTGTCCCCGCGGTCTGCAGCGTGTAAAGGCCTGCACGGACGCCCCGGAGGCGCGTGGTACTCACCGCTCACTATGGGGCTCCGCGAGCACACAGCCCGGTGCTACCAAGGACCCTGGCCGAACTCCGCGATCCTCCCGATGAGCGGTCCTCCCGACACTCCTAAAGCAAGGCGGGACGGTGAGTGAGCGGGCCGGAACCAGCTGCAGCAGGAGAGGGGCGGGGCCTGAGCCTCACTATGCCCAGAGGGGCGGAGCCTGAACACCTCCTCCATTCAGAAGCGGCGGGCCATCGCCGAGGGGCGGAGCCTGGACCCCCCCACCCTTCGGAACCTTCAAGCCAAGGCAGAGGGGCGGAGTCGAGGACCTATCCCGCCCCAAGGGCCTGAACTTGATGCTGCGGCCAAGGGGCAGAGCCTGGGACGCCTCCTCTTTTCTTTCCAGAACCTGAAGGCAGGCCATGATCGAGGGGCAGGGCCTGGGATCTACCCCGCCCCGAGGGCGGGCCCTGGAGGCGGAGGCTGAATAGCGGAGCCTGGGCTCTCCAGGCCCAGTTCTTAGATCCCGAGAGTCTGGGCCCCATCTGCTTTGTCTGGACGGCCCTGGCGGGAGTGCCTGAAGCTGAAGGCCTAGGAGCTTTGGCCCTAGACCCCCCTCGGCTCCGCCCCATAGGCGGGAGAAACTAGACTTGGGCTGCGACCAGCATTGCTAGTGGCTCAGTCCCAGGAAGTGGATAGCTGACTTGTAGGCTTTCCCTTGCACCGGGGAAGGCTGTCTCTCATGTGGCGCAGAGTGTGATGTGTAACTGTCTGACTGGTGCAGGGAGTCCGAAGAAGACAGGCATCCTTTCCCACCTTTCTTTAAAAAGCTTGACGGTATGTACAGGCTTCTTCTTCTGAGTGCCTCAGTACACTACACAATCAGCCATCTCCGTGCCTCCAGGTCTGCCCCTCCACCTTGTCCTTTTCTTCTTGTTCCCACCCCAATTATTGTTTTGTTTAGGGTCCTTCGTGGGGTTTTAGTTGTTTAGGGGTTTGGTATAGTTTTGAGAAAGAATCCCGTGGGGCCTGGGCAGGTTTAGAGCTCACTGTTCGGTGGAACTCAGTCTGACTTTGAACTCCCTGCACCCACCTTTCAAGTGCTGGGATTCAGGTGTGCCCCACCATGCCCAGCCTTTTTAAAAAGTCAGTTTCCCTGTTTTTACTTGGACAAGGCATGGGAAGTGGACATCAGGAATATTCTTTAGAAATAGACTCTCACCATTTCTATGGCTTACCTAGGCAAAAATTTCTATGTATAAAACTTTTTTTTTTTTTAACCTATAGCGACCCTTTATAATACATGTCCACTGATCTAGTCCGAGCAACGAGGCTGGGTGGGCCTTCCGTATGTACTTTACATGCAGTTTAGTGTAGATGTAACCAATCGTATTATTAAAATAAGAAACACAGAGCCAAGGTAAAAGAGAAAAGCCGAGAGGTCAGAGCTCAGAGATAAAATCTTACCTCCTGCAGTGCTCCTAGCTTCCCCGAGAGAGGGA